TGAGGGTTGTATTGCACAATTTGAGAAACCAGCCCTGTGCTAAAGGTAAAAAACAGGTATGGGGTATGTCAGGCATGCGAAAGAGAGCAGACAATAGGGAGGGGGAAAAAAGCAGGCAAGCAGAGCTGAAGTCAGGTGAGTCTGGCAGTGGAAAGGAGATAAGAGCAGGAGAGGACAGAATCAGGGAGAATTTGGAGAACAAAAAGTAAATATAATGAACAAGGAGCTGCTAAGTCAGTGGAGTGAAAATAGCATGTGTTTGTTTTCACATAAGCATAGGGTGACTGAAATTTTAGGACCTCTCTTACGCTCCACTACTGTTGTGCTCCACTGTTTTGGAAACTTTGTTTATATGATTCCATCAGCTTGTGAACATATTTTAAGGTTTGATATTATTTAAATAACAAGACAAGTTGGGTTTACATTTTTAATCCAGACTATTTAGACCAGGATTTAATACAGTTCAAGTCAAGGCATAGTATTAACTTGAATAAAAAGGGGGGAGGGGAATTCACACCCCCACCCCTCCATTAATAATGTTTTCTAGTTGGGAGTTGTGAATTAGAGATCAGAGCTTTCTGCAAGGCTGTCCTTTTTTTCCCTGTGTTTGTTTTTCTGTCTTTGCTTCCTTACAAAGTGCTTGAAAATTAGAATTAAGTTTGGAAAAATATGCTCCCCAACCGGAAAGCAAGTAATTGGGAGATAGTTGCAAATGGAGTAACTGATTCTGATACTTAGCAGATTTCCAAATACATCATCTGTTGGTGCTCTGGAACACTTCATAGTTGGTTTCATTTTCTTTTGACTTGAAAGTTATTGTCTTCCAGTAGTTAAACTCTGAAGCCCCAAACAACGGGTGATGATACTGCTAATGTCCAAATGGATTCTTATTAAATGCATGCAAACAGCGGTCTGCAACTCCAGAGGCAGAGTGCGCTTTATTTTAAGATTGTTCACTCATGGTTGTTACAGGACTAACAGTTTAAAAAATAGTAGGTCCATTTCACTTTTTGGGTGAATGGACAAAACTCCTATTGCCATTAACAGGAACTATGCCCTCTTTACAGCAGAGATTAATTTGGTTTGATGTGACTTTTGTTGGAGGAATAAACAGTAAAAAGATGCTCTAGTTGTGCTTTGGTGTCTCATTGTCATACTTAAATATTTTAATTATTTAGCCATAGGATTCCAAATTGGGCATGAGAAGAGTTAAGTGGTTTGTAAAGTACATTTGCAGATGAGAAAACCTCTGTCACTGGCCATGGGTTGAACACCATTCGTATTGTCTTTCCATCCCATCTTGCTTTGCTTGGTTGGTTGATACGAGATGATGAGCACCTGCCTTGCAGCAAAAAGCATGTCAGGTGCAAAGGAGGTAGCTCCACTGAGACACGTTTCTGCTGTTTGGTCTCAGTGCACTCATAGCATTGCTGAGCATTGCACAAATAATAAAAGATAATACCTGTGTATTTCCCTAGAAGTTCACAAACACTCTTTAGAACTGTAAGGAGCGATGGTGATAACTGATTAGGTTTAGGGTAGGTGAGTACTGTGGTAAAGAGAGCTCTGCATAGGCAGTGAGCCCTATTTCGCTAACTGTTAAGGAAACACTTGGACCCAGTAGAATAGCGCTCGCTTACCAAACCAACCCACCCTGTAACGTAATGGTCCTTACTGAAAAACTGAAGCCCAAATGTCTTTGTTGTTGCAAAGAGCTCGCTTATGTAGATGGAAGCTGGTGATACGTGAATGATCATTATGCTGTGTCAAGTCTCATTTTAAAGACCATAAGTATACCTTTTTAAAAGAAAAACAAACTACTTCACCAGTCTAGAGAGAAACATAAATCATGTATTTTTATCACCTCAAAAGACCACTAGAAGATGAGCTCTAATATTTCAAATGCGACAAGCAATCCATACACATGAATCACAATTTGAGTTCCATTACAACTGAGCTGATATATACCACTGTGTGCTTTATGGATTTTACTCTAACAATATTAAGTAAAAACCCAAAGCTTTTTGTGATGAATACCTAACCTTTTACAAGAATTTGTAGAATTGTGGTCCAGAACAACAGCTTTAGCATTGCCCCACAGGCTTTAATAAGAAAATACTATTGCCAGTTTTGACCTTTCAGTATTATTCTCTCTAAAGGAAATGCGTGTATTAGTAGAAAGCTAATACTGGAAAGGTAAAAGAAAATGTGAAATACTGAAAGGTTTTATGGAAAATGCACCAAGAAAGATTGAGAAGAGAGTTAAATAAATGAACAAAGTTTCAAGAGAGGGATCTTTTGTTCCTTCTGCATCCTTTGTTAGGCCCAGTCTTTTTCTTCCTGGACTCAAGGACTTCTGCAGCAACCCAGTGCCAGTTGTTCTCAATTCCCCTATTTATAGTCAAGTCATCACTTGAAGTCCTTAGTCTCCTTTTGAGAAATTCTCCCACAGTGGTTTTTTTCATATAGGTTGTGAATTTTCTTTTTATCTCTGGGTATTCTCATATTTTCTGTTCCGATAATGTGGGCCTTGCTTGCAATGAATCAAAGTTCAAATTCCTTCACCTTTGAGACTTTTAATCCTCTTGCTTCCCTTTGGGGGAAGAAAGAGGAGGAGTGTTGTCCAGTGAATTCAGTGAGGAAGCTGGAGATGGGGGTAGCGCGTAAGGTTAATTTTCAGGTGAATTGGTTGCTGTTTTGACATTCTTGCATTCTTTTCAGACATCTTTTCGTTCCTTTCCCTTTTATGCTAGAAAATTATTAGATATGCAAGAACAAAACTCCTCAAAGCTATGCTCCAAAAGCCTATTAAAAAGAGGCTGCAAGCAGAACAGTGTGAACACACGTCAACACCTGAGTGTTTCCCAAGTGGCTCTAGCACTCAGTGGTGTGATAACAAGACGTGGGAGGATTTTTCTTGGCTTTTATCTTCCATATATTGATGCTCTTGACTTTTTAAAATTCATTTCATCAAGTGGCACTGCAACAGAAACAACAGAAATGCGGGAATGAGATAGTTCAAGGTGTTTGCAGTGGTATACAAAGTCTTTTGCCTCCAGGCCATCATTTCTAATTCAGCCCAAGTTGGCAGCAGTCAGAAATCACTGCCAACTGACAGCTGTTTGGTGGCCAACATGAAGTGATTTAGCTAGTCGTTCCTACAGGACAGATGTCTGTAGTATAGAAAGTGTGAGTATAGCTGGCATGTGTTTCATTTTTAGAGACTGGAAAGCATGGGTGTATCTCAACTGCAGCTACTTTGGTTTAGGGAGGTTAAACAGGATACCCTAATTTAGGCAACCGAGAACGCAGTATGTGCACAATTAAACTCCCCCATATATTGGGGATAAATCCTGATGTTATGTACTAACTCCTTGTAGCACGTAATTGTGTCTCCATAAGCACTGTGTGGTGAGGGAGAAGGGAGGCTGTGGCTTGGTCTCTACAGGCATTGTACATATTTTTGTAAGTCAAGCGTGGATAGGAGTAAGATCGGGCCGTAATGAATTGTAACCAACTGTATTTGTATTTATCGTACTGACTGTTAATAAACCGATTTTTTCTTTTACGGCGGCGGGGTCTGAACCCCTTTAGAGTGAGAAGAGAGGCATATGGCAACGGGAGCTTGTGTCGAGGGTTGACCCAGTAGATCTAGGGTATAGTACGTAGGGATATATGGGACTCGGATTATGACGCGTCGCATCCAAATTTTTCCATCAATGACATTTAATTACCAGCCGTTGCCTAGGTGGATGGGCCACCTGTACTTAACCCAGAAAAGGAACACGTATAATTTTATATATGTTCGGTAAATAGGTGTGCCGGAGGGATGTGGTAGGAGACCAGACTCTGGGGTGACCAGCTCGTCTGTACCCCACCGACTGAGGAAGTTCTTCAGCTGTGTTGTCAGTTAATATCTTTCTGGAGTGTGAGCATTCAATAACAAGGAGAAAGTAATAGGGGAAAAAAAAAAAAAGTGTCTGATTCATCTTTCTTTGTGTGGACATATGTAACACTAGAATTAATCTTTTGAAAACCATGAATTACTTCATGTAAAATCTGTGCTACTAAGCAGAAAATCTATCCTGCTGAGAAAAAAATAAAGAGAATTCTTCAGTATAATATCTGGTTTTGTGGGGAAGAAAGGGGGAAGATTTTACAGTTTACAATACCACAGAGCTTTGGGATATTTAAACAGGCAAGTAAATGATAGGTTTGATTCACTATTGTGAAAACAGTTTTGAATTTTGGATTTGCAGCAGCAGTAGAGATTGCTCAAGCAAACAGAGACATGGGGTCAAGTTGCTACCACTCTTTTTTTTTCCATTGGGATGATGTAAAGCAGGCTTAAAATGGGCTTAAGTGACGGGCTCAATCTTCTCCTTGTGCGGGATGTGGAAGTGGCGCAGAGCGCTGTTCAGGACCTTCTGCAGCAGGAGGGTGTTTCAGGGCCAGGGCGCTGTCGGAGCACTTGGGTGAATCTGGAGGGCTGGAATACTTGCTGATCAACTCTGCAGCTGAATCTGCTACATTGCCCTGGCAAACACTGCCATGCCATATCTATCCAGCACTGCAGCTGATCTTATACTGTATAGAGTTACTGTGCCTTCATGCTTTAGTTTACCGATGAGACAGAGTTAGGATTTTCAGTATTGCATACTTCTGACGCTGTTCTATGTGTTTGAAAAATCTACATCAGTTTTTGTCTTTTAACATTGTCATAGGAAAAAAACCAAATGAATGTGTTACTTTTCCAGAGTTAAAAAAATTTAGGATTTCATGAAGAACAGTGGAAGGAACCCATTGCTATGATATGGGAGTTCTAGCTCTATTCTGAGGAATATTTTTCTACTGATTTGCCTTGTTCTTTAATGCTGGAGTTAAAGCAGATTGTCTTTGGAGTTGTAAATGGAGATTATTTTCTTTTATTCTAATACTGTGTCGTGTTATTCATTTTGCTAAGCCTGACTGTGACTTTCCTTGATTCTTCTTCCCTGCAGATATTGATGAGTGTGCTGCCAAGATGCATTATTGCCATGCCAATACCGTGTGTGTTAACTTGCCTGGATCCTATCGTTGTGACTGTGTCATGGGATATGTCCGTGTGGATGATTTCTCCTGTACAGGTGAGCTCTTAGGTATACAGCAATAGCGGTGTTAATACTCGGTGTTCTGTGTATCGCTTAGCTTCTATTTAGCCCCTGTGCCATACCAAATGCCACATACTAGCTGGCCCTCTGCTGGCATAAAATTGAGGCACAGGCGAGATAGGTAAAGGTGGTATGAGGTACCTTTCCTATCTATGGATCCTTTGGGATTAACTTGGAAGGTGGCTCAGGAAGCCCTGTGGTGCACACACTGCGTGCTGTTGTCAACCATGGTCCCTTCACGTCCCACGGCTGGCTTGCGTGCGAGGTGCGAAGGCTGAGACCAGATCACACGTGTAGCGAGAAGAAGTAACTGTTGTATTACCTGTAGTTTGAAACGAGTCAGTGGATTGAAACATGAGAAGTTATCCAGGAGGAGAAGCTTTCTGGACAGAGCTGAGGCAAATATATAAAAGCAAAATTGAAAATGTATGAAGTCCTCAGAACACATTGTTAGGTGGTTTGGAAATTGTTATTATTAATGCTGACAATTAACATATCCAGGACTATGACACATGTTATGTGGAAAAGAGAACAAGTGCGATAGCATTAGACAATAAATCCAGTGATTCTTTTTTAATACCTGTCAGCAAAATGAGTGCTAAAAATTCTTAGTGGAAGGTAGGTAGGTCTCATTTCCATCTAGAGGTTTTTAAGGAACCTTCCCTGGCAATCTCTGGGAAACATGTGAGAACCTGCTGAAACGCTTGGTCCAACTACACCTAACTGGATAACATCTTTCAATCACAGCTGCCCAGAAAGGCTGATGTGAGGATTATTTTGGTGGTGCACCTGTCTGGCAAAGGAGGAAAATATCAGGCAGATTTATTGAAATGGAAATAAGTCAGCTTGACACAACACCATGTTTAGAATTGTGTTGGGTGAGGTATTTTCTCAAGTGGAAAGATGGCACAGGAGTATTTAATATGAGAATGATTTCCAGCCTGGAATAATTACGTTGTAATGCACATGTTATCCTTCGGGAAGGTCATAGGAAATGTTGACTTTCATGATGACAGCATGAATTGTAGCTGAGATTATGTAGTTTTATAAAACTGTAGGAAAGTCCTGCCCACCTCTTGAGAGAGGCTGTTACTAAATAGCTGTCAGGAAACTGATTTCTATTTTGCCCAGAGAGTCATTATTTCCATATAATCTGTGTCTTTTGAGTAAACTTTTGAGTTTTCCTTGGTCTTTTACAATCTGCCATGTCAGAAAAGTTTCAGACCTTAAATTGTGTTCTAAATGTGTGTGCTGTGTGAGGTAGCGGCCTTCACAGTGATGGGGAAAGTGGTTTTGATAATCTGACACTTTCTTTTCTTATATGCACTGCTAATTTTCTAATGTTCCTTTCCTTCCAGCAAGGCACTATCATTAGGCATGCAAATGGTTTAGAAAGCAAGGTATTTGTGATTTACAGAAAAAGTGTGAAATAGTAAGATAAGCAGCTTGACAGTAATAGGTGAACATTCATTTAAAGTGCACGCACACAAAAAATCCAGAACCGGTATGAGAATGAAATAATAGAACGACTGAGCTAACTATTTCTTGCAGGTTTGTTATCTTGCTAAAATGACTTCTTTTTTGACATCACAGTTAAAAAAAGCACAGAAAGTATATAATATAGATGAGGAGAAACTTGGTTCATTGCCTGTTGTATCTAGAAATAATTGTATGTTACAATAATAAATGTATTTAAAATAAGTGTTGTACAATGGAAGCGCTAATCCTGGTTTTGTATCTTGCATTATGGTTATATACAGACTTTTCCTCTCGTGAATCTTAAAAAAATAAATAACAATAATAAAAAAAATCAGGCAGCAAATACTTAACTAGTTGCCCCTCATGCTGGCACCAACGTATAGCAGGCACAAGCAAAATAGATTGTAGCTATTACTCAGTTTTTTAAATTTATTCTTCTTTATTCAAACAAAATAAATGAGAAATTATCTTGTTATTGAACCATGCATTTGGGGACAAACCTGAAAGCCTGAGATGGGTTGGCATTCTGATTACAAATGAGTTTTGTGTATTTGGGGTCAGGATCTAATGGATTCAAGATAAGGGTTAACAAGTTTAAAATGTAAGTGCTTAAGGTACGTGCACAGCATTACGTGCATTTTATACACTGTTGATCTAAAAGCAGAGTTATTCCCTAGGGCAGGAGGTATCATGTTTTGGGAAGTCCGAGTCTAATTCATCGAGGTGCAAAGTCGTCATCTGCTGTGGAGCAGAATCAGTGTGTTGCTGGGCAGGCCCGTGCTTGGTGGCCTTGATGGCTGGTCCCTGTGCTCTGGTGGCTTTCAAAAGGTGGAAAGCAGTGATATGTGGAAGCCGTAAGTCAGAAAAAATTTTGGAGCCGAGTGAAATATTTCAATTTTATCTGGAGGGCTTTATCTTTATAAAAAGATACAAAGGGAATATTGAAATGCTAGGCCAAATTTGAATTGAGCGAAATTAAATTAATTTGGATATTGCTGAATTTTAAATATGCGGCTTCCAGTGTGTTTTCTTATAATTCTGCATCTTTCTCAAAATAAACTAATTTGTACTGTTTTGGTGTTGATGAAACTTTTTCTCTAAAAACAATTTTTGAGTAATATTTCCCATCTCTGATCATGAGAACTGTGGAATAGGAGCTTCCCATGGTTATCAGTAAGAAGCTGCTGTGTTGGAAGCTGTGCTGGTTGTGTAGAAAATGCAGTCACAGCGACAGAGTGACTAAAATAATATTCTGTATGAAGTCTACAATTATATTAAATTCTGAACTATGATTTAAAATTAAGTAGTGGCTATTTTAATAAATAACCAATATTCAGTCTCACACAAGCAAAAGACCTGGTGTGTTGAGGTTCATCCATGGTATTTTGTGACAGGTTAGTCAGCCTAGCAATAACTTTAACCTCCGCTCACCATGAAAGGTACATTAGTGTTTTTCTGCTCCCCTATTCCTAGAGCTTTGAGCTCTGAATGTTAATTAAGTTGTTGAGTGAAAGACAGTTTTATTAAGAAAAGTTACCCTTGAATAGGAAGCTTCTTTCAGTCTCTTCCTGTGACACTGACAGGTTGTTTATCTGTTCTCAAGTAAATCACAGTCTTGCCCGTTCTGAAAATGGCAGCAAGATTTGCTGCTCCAGATGCTCTCATTTACTGGAGTCTACTGATTTAAAGCATTTTATTGACTTGCACAGGTTTTTACCCTGCTTACTTGTTGAAAAATAAGTTTTCTTGGGTTGCTTACTTCTAAGGTACCAGTTTGGGAGTTTGCTTCGAAAGTGCATTATTTAGTTTCATGCTTTTTGAAGCATTATAAATTACATAATAAAAATCTTGTAATTTTATTTTTGGTGGGCTGCATCTGTTGTCCGGTATGATTTTGAAAATGCATGTATATGTCTGATTTTCTGTAGTTTGAAGCTACAATATATAGTTTCTCTGTCCCATTGCCATTCAATCAAATAAACAAATGCTGTTTCATCTTAATAGGCTATAAGTTATGTGTAATAACTAGATATATGACGCTGATATGACGAGGCAAGCGTGTAGGTAGGTCTTATCTGTTTTTGCATACTACTGGCATTTTCTATGAAGACAATCAGGGTAATCATGATAAAGATTCCTGGCCTTGAACATCTATGATAACCCTTTAAAAAAACATACCTTTATTTTGCAATATTTTCCTTGGGGCTGTGTGAGACACTGAAAACTTCCTAAAATCCTGCAGTCATTCAAAGAATAAGCTGTTTGTCTCATTTTGTGCAGTTACTACTGGGCTTGGACGTTCTCTTCTGGGGTTTAAATTTTTTTTAATTTCCTACAAATATTTGCTAATTATGCTCTAAAGCTTAAAAAAGACCTTTATAAATGACAGTGCCAAGAGATTTTTATTCCTCTATTTGCATGTATTACTCATAGCCCTTTTGCAAAATGAAGAAACTTCTTTTGGACTTGAGAATGGCATGGCCCATTTTGCTCCAGGGGCATCTTTTCAAGAAACAGTATGGGAAGGTATCTGGCCACCCAACGTATGTTGGCAGCACGTTCTGCCAAAACGTGGCGCGACCTATATGCCCACATCCTCCTCTTTATGCACCAAGCTATGCTGACAGATGTTGTTCCTCCGTGAAGGGAATCCATCTCCACATTTCACTGTGGAGTTGTGCAGTTCTGCACAATGATTGAATACTGGACTGTGCTTTTAACCCTTTTTCAGTCCTCATTTTGTGTGGTAACGGTCACAGAACTTTTACCTTTGGCTTCTCTAAGCAATGAGTCACTAAAATAATTATATGTTACTTGCAAAAAGCAAGCCCTTATCTACCGCAGAAACAGGACATATTTCAGTATTCAGTATTTTAATTCTATAGAAAAATTGATGTTATAATGAAATATATTGTTTAGAAGAAGTCTTAGAATTTAAATGTTAGTCTATAGTTTATATGCTAATTTGATTTACAGTATGGGTAGAGAAGAGGAAGTAAGAAAACCTAATGATTTTGACAGGTTATCCCATAAGCCCCTTCACTTTGGTCCTCTGTGGTTTCTGGATTAGCATTCAGTTTTGAATCCAATCCGCCTTTCAGAACAAGCCCTTCTGCAGCATGTTATTGGAAAAGTTGTGCCTAAAGCATAGAAAAACATAGAGTTCTGAGAAATCTCAATTGCAAGAGAAAAAACCAGCAGCCCCTTTCTCCTGCTTTTCCCTTCTTCCCTTCCCCTATCTGTGAAAGGCAACTCAACTGCAGAAATTTCCTGCTATGGTTAGAACAGACGTTGTTCCAATTGTTTGCTTTAATTGATGCCTTTAGATTTTTGTTGCTGGAGTTTACCTGTCAGGTTCAAGGTGGTGTAGTTGACCCTGTAATAATACCAATAACGCAGCAAGTTTCACAGTGGTGAAGTGGCAATCTCAAAGGGCAGGTTACTGGCCTCCCACCCAGAACTACTGTATGTGTTTGAAAAAGACCCAAGGAGCAGCT